AGATTTGAACTATTATAGTAACTTTTAGAAATTAACAAAATATACAAAGCCATTAAAATGTATGGTGTAAAGGGTGGCTTAGACATCAGATTAACATAGCTAGAAAGAGACTAAGTGAACAAGAAGACATATCTGAGGAAATCACCCAGGATATAGCATAGATGTATAAAGCACTAGAAACTATGAAAAACAAGTTAGGAGATAAGGAGGCCAAAAATAAAAATGTCCAACACATATAAAAAAGAAGTGCTAGGACAAAGAATGGAGAAAATATGGGTATGCAATATTGGGAACATTTTTGGCTGAGAATTTTTCAGAATTAAAGAAAAACTTTAATCTTTAAAAGAAATAGCATATGGAACTTCCAAAGATAAGTGACAATTAACCCGTACTTAGACACTCTATGGTGGACATGCAGAACAACAAAGAAGAGAGAAAATCTTAAACACAACTAGAGAGAACAAAACAGAATACCTAGAAAGGGAGGACAATTAAATTGATGAAGAAGTTCCAATACCCAGAGAAACCAGAAGATAGAGGCATGGTCCCTTCAAACTAAGAGGAAATAACTAAATTAAATCCTGTTTGTAGCTGAACTATAATTCAAAAGCAAGGGTAAAATCACACATTTTCAGACATAGACTTAGAGACTTTCTTACTCATGGGCCATTCTGAAAGTAACACTAAAGGATGCACTTCAGGAAAAACAAAATTAAATCAACAGGGGTGTGTGAAATACAAGAAGCTATGGTGAGCAAAGAAACGCAGAAACTTGTGGGTAAATACAAATAAGCACTGACTTAGATATGAACAATCACTATAATAATAACAACTGGGGGAGGTTAAATACAGGTGGAACAAAAACATGAATCAACAGTACATGGAAAATGGGAAAGGATGGTGGGCATTAACACATCCTAGGATCCTTATTTCGTTGTTGTTGGAGAATAAAGACATTTATCAATGTTAAAATGTAAGGGTAATAGTAAGGCATACTGTGCTCATGGGTTGGCAGATTCAACTTAGTAAAGATTCAATTCTTCCCAAGTTGATCTATGAATTTAATGCACTCCTAATAAACATTCCAGAGGATTTTTAAAGCTATAGACAAGCTGATTATAAAAATTTATACTGAAAGGCAAATGAATAAGAATAGATAAAGCAGTCTTGAAAAAGAAAAAGCTGGAGGAATCACACTACCTAATTTTAAGACTTAATTATAAAGCTGCAGTAATAAAGACAGTGTGATTTTGGCAAAGGTCTAGACACAAAAATCAATAAAACAGAATAGAAAGTCTAGAAATAGACCCACACAAATATGGTCAATTGATTTTTGTTAATGGTGCAAAAACAATTTAATGGTAAAAAGATAGTGTTTTTGACAAGTGATGCTAAAATAATTTAACATTCACATGCAAAAAAAAAAAAAAAAGAAAGAACTTTATAGAAAACTATTTTAAAATGGGTCTAAGTGCAAAATTATAAAACTTTTTAGAAAAACAGATAGAAAACCTTCCTGATCTGAAGATTAGGCAAAATATTCTTAAATGTGGCACCAAAAGCATAATCCATAAAAGAAAAAAAAGATAAATTAGATTTTATCAACATTAAACACTTTTGTTTTGCAAATGATAGTGTTAAAATAATGTAAAAGATAAGTCAAAGACTAGGAGAAAATATTTGCAAATGTTATATTCAATAAAGAAACTGTATCCAGAAGTTATAAAGAACTCTCAAATTCAGCAGTAAGAAAACAACCTAATTTAAAAATGGTCAGAAGGCTTGAATAGATACTTTTCCAAAGAGAATATATGGATGACAAGCACATATAAAAGCGTTCAACATCATAGATGTCTATTTACACAAAAACCTGCACACAAATATTTATAGAAGCTCTATTTATAATAGCTGTAAACTGGAAACAACCCAAATGTCCTTCAATGGATAAACTGTGGTACATCCACACAATGGAATACTACTAGGCAATAAAAAGGAATAAACTATTGATACAGGCAATAAGTTGGGTGATTTCAAAGGTGTATGCTATATGAAAGAACCCAGTCTCAAAATGTTATATACTGTATGTTTCAATTTATATAATATTCTCAAAACCACAAAACTATAGGGATGGAAATGGACCAGTGGCTAAGTGGTTGGGGAGAGTGTGATAATAAAGGACTAGCATGACAAAGTTTTTGGAGTGAGGGACTGTTCTGGATTCTGACTGTGGCAGTTACACAAATCTATAAAGGTGTCCAAATTTACAGAACTGTACATCACCCCAATGAAAAGTCAATTTTACTCTTTAATATTTTTTTAAGTTTTAATATAAAGATTAATAATGTATAACTTCCAAACCAGTAGGAAGAAAAAAATAGGACTAAAGAAATAGAACATGACACTAGAAAGAGGAAAAGCATGCAGATAACTAACAAGCTTAAGCACACCAATACAGAAGGATAGCTACCTCTGGGGAAGCAGTGAGGAAAAAGCCCAAGGAGAGTTAATGTCTTTTTTTTTTTTTTTTTAAAGAGATATCTGCCTTGGTCAGTGTGGCTCAGTGATTACAGCGTTGGCCTGTGCACTGAAGGGTCACAGGTTTGATTACCACTCAAGGGCACATATCTGGGTTGCAGGTTTAATCCCTGGTCCCAGTTGGGGAACATGTGGGAGGCAACCAACAGATGTGTCTCTCCCACATCGATGTTTCTCTCTGTCTGTCTCTCTCTCTCCCCCAGCCCCCTACCTCCTTCCCTTCCACTCTCTTTAAAAATCAATGGAAAAAATATCCTCAGGTGAGGATTAACAAAACAAAAAAAAGAGGTATCTGACAACCCAAGTGTCCACCAAAAGGTAAATGGATAAATAAAATGTGGTATATCCCTACAATGGCATATTATTCAACCATAAAGAAATGAAATTCTGATACAGGCTACAACAGGGATAGCCTTGAAAACATGGTGCTAAGTGAAATAAGCCAGAAACAAAAGGACATGTGCTGTATGATTCCACTTACATGAACTATGTAGAATGCATGCATTCATAGAGACAGCAAGTAAATGAAGGATACCCAGGGCGGGAACAGAGGATGTGGAGTTATTAATAGGTACAGAGTTTCTGTTTGGGGGAGATGAAAAAATTTTGGAAATAGTCATGATAGGTGCACATCATTGTGAATGTAATTAATGCCAGTGAACTGTGTCCTTAAATTGGTTAAAATGGCAAATTCTATTATATATAGGGTGGGGCAAAAGTAGGTTTACATTTGTGAGTACATAAAACAGAGTTTATTCTTGTATTATTATTTATTTATTATTGTCTTATTTTCCATCTGAATAACTATAAACCTACTTTTGCCCCACCCTGCACATTTTGCCACAATAAAAAAATAATATAATGTACCAAAACCATTGAATTGTACATTTTAAATGGATGAACTGTATGGTATGTGAATTGTGTCTCAAGAAAGCTGTTAAAAAGAAAAAGAGAAGAAAAAAAGAGGTATCTGAAGAAAAACTGATAAATCTTAATGGTCAGTACTTAAGTGTCTGTTATATTATTTTCTTTGCTATATTTTGAATTTTTCATATTAGAAAACAAAGTAACTCAGCGGTGATCAGTGGATTGAGCATCACCCCATGGATTGAGAGGTCCCGGTTCGATTCCTGTCAGGGCAAGTGCCCAAGTTGCAGACTCGATCCCCAGTAGGGGGCGTGCAAGAGGCAGCTGAGCAATGTTTCTCTCTCACATGGATGTTTCTATCCTTCTATCCCTTCCTTTCTCTCTAAAAAGAAGCAATAAAATATATTAAAAATAATAAAATAAAATAATTTTTAAAGAATGGGAACTCCTACGGGGCAATTCAGTGGTATTTAACGTTGCATTTATGAATTATGTAAAATCCTCACACATCTCTCTCTGCTACAGGGCATATCATTAAGAACCAGAGGCTCCGTGACACAGAAGGGCCACTTGCCTAAGATCAGGAGGCCTGAGTCTGTCTCTCCCTCACTGACTAGTGTCCTTGAGAAAGTTACTAGACATCTTTGAGCACCGTGTTCTCACCTTAGACCTCTTCTCTCCCCTTCACAGTGTCCAGGGGAATCAAATGAGATCACAGTGCCAGTGTGTTATAAACCTAAAGAATGATGGGCGAATGTACCAAGGTGAGGAAGTGCTAAACACATGATTAAACATGCAGCAATTCAATGACCTCACCATGGTCAGTGCTCTGACCCTCCTCCTGCCAAGCCCACCACAGGCATCTCTGCTTGTGTGCAATGGAGTGTTCCTGGCAGGAAGCACAGGGAACTGAAGAGAACCCCAGGGAAGGTGAGCCTCCGCTGCACGTGTGTCCTTAGCAAGCCAGCGCTAAGACAGCTGCTTCATAGCTCCACATAATTCTGCATGTTCTGATTTGTATTATTATTATTGTTTTCATTATAATTTTTATCGTGGGCAGTACTACAGATGTCCCCCCCTTTTCTTCCCATTGACTTTCTCCTCCCTGCTCCCATCCCCTCCTGCTTTCCCCAATTCTGCATGTTCTCACTTTTATTTTTTTATTTTATTTTATTTTTTATCCTCACCCGAGGACATTTTTGCATTTATCTTCAGACAGAGCAGGAGGGAGAGAAGGGGGAAGAGAGAGAGAGAAACATCAATGCGAGAGAGACACATCAACTGGTTGCCACCCGCACAACCCCAACCAGGGCTGGGGACAAACTGCAACCGAGGTATGTGCCCTTAGCGGGAACCGAACCCGGGACTCTCTGGTCCGGGGGCTCATCCTCTAACTGCTGAGCCAAACCGGCCAGGGCATGTTCTGACTTTTAGATGTGTTTTGGGGAGAAACAAAACAATAAAATTCAAGGAAGCTTTCTGGTGGGAGAGGACAGCATGACTCAGCGTGCTAGCCACTGCCCCAGAAGCGTGGCCACCAGCTTTCTGAGATGCTCTCATCCCTTAACCCCTGGGAGCAGGGGTTGGAGGCCACTTACCGACGTTGGCCACGGTGTACTGGTAGGGCTCTGAGAGGAAGTGTGGGAGGGTGAGGACGAAGGCACCTGAAGCGAGGAGGAGACCCCCAATGCCAATCAGCCGCGGACGGTGCACACGGCTGCCAAAGTAGCTGACGAAGATGATGAGGATGGCGTTGCTGATCTGCAGAGAGAGCAGAGGGGCTGAGTAAGACCAGAGACTCCGTCCTCGCCCACCCACGGTGGAGACCTGTCTGCACCTTGTCCAGGAAAAGCAGAGAGGCGAGAGGCTGCCCAGTGTCAGCTGAGGCCCAGGCAGAGGCCCAGAGTCAGCCTTGCCCAGGAGCCTCGAGTGGGCCAAGCAGCTTCAGCCGTCCCCTGTTGTCCAGACTGAACCGAGGGAAGTACCTAGAGACGATGAAAAACTCATGGCCTCCATGTCAACCATCTTAGGACCAAACCCTTTGGGGCAAACCCAAGCATGCCCCCTAGTCTGGCTGGCTCCCTAAGAACTTGGGCTCGGTAGTCAGAATGACCACCAAGCCACATGCACGATCTCATTTCATCATGCAATGCTCATTTGACAGACGACAGAAGTGGCACTCGGAGCATTAAGTAACTTGTCCAGGTCCGTGGGCTCAGGAGGTGGCTTGAATAGATACTGTTTACATTTAGCTAAACTAGTCTTCTGCCTCTTGTGGGAGTGGGTTTCTGTCCCAGCAGCTCTGCTACTAACCTGCCCCTGGCCCTCCCTGGTCTGCTTCCAATTCTGTCAATGGGGACAAAGACTAAAGCACCTTTGAGTTCCTTCCCAGTGGGACACTCCAGTAACTCCATGTTCCTGGTGCTCCTTGGAAGGTGTGCTCTCTGAGCCCCACCCAGAGCCAGGGAAGGGAATGGAAGGCCCCATCTTGGGGAGCAGGGTCATAAATGGTAAAAGGGGTGCTAAATTCAGTGGTATTTAATGTTGCATTTATGAATTATGACTACAACTGCATCCAAAGACATGGTCCTCTGCCCCAGTACGTTCACCTGGACTCAAGGAGCCCGGAATGTCAGCACCCACAGCCCTGGCCCTGTCCACACCAGTCTCCTCCGAGCTAGAAAAGCAGGTGCCCTGTCTCGGGAAATAGGGGCCAGTGTCTTGGTCCGTGGCTCCTGCCAAGACCGCCGACAATCTCCTCATTGCCAAATTCACTGGTCAGTTCTGTTCTCTTCTTACTTGATCTCTCAGTACCACTTGGTTCAGTTGACCATTTCTCTCTTCCTGCGACACTTCTTTCACTGGGTTTCCATGACACCACCTTCTCCTAGTTTCCTTCCCCTGGCTGCTCCTTCCCAGTCTGCTGGGCTGATTCCTCCCCGCCTCCCTGCACTCTCAACTCTCTGAGCGCAGTCCCTGTACCTCTGCTCTCGTCTTGGTGAGCTCATCCAGAACAGAGGGCCTCATGGAGAGAGAAGAGAGAAGCTAGGACTGGGAAGCCCACCTCCTTCCCTGGAGCCATCAGAGGGGCTCAGTTCAGCGCCTGAGAAACCTCAGGAAGCGTAGCTCCTCCCACCATGTCCATTGCATCTGGCTGTCTCCTTTCCCCGTGTGTCTATCCCAGCTCCCCATTCCTCTGTTCTTCCTGGAGCCCCCTCCCAGGCCTCGTGCCCAGGGTGCACCAGTGGGGTCTGATGGACCAGAACCTCCTGCTTACCTCATTCAAGCTGGAAATGAGACCTGAGGAGGAACTGGAGAGGCCAAAGCGCTTCTCGATGGTGGTGAGGCTGCTCTTGAAGTAGGCGCTGTACAGGAGCTGGGAGAGCTGCAGGAGGCCATGGCAGAGCACGAACACCTGGGGAGACACCTTGCCGTGAGGCCCTGGGTAGGGAGCCTTGGCTGTCCACCTGGGCCTTCCATTCTGTTTCCTCACCTGTTACTTAAAAACACTGATTTTATAAGGTGGTCCTCAGGGCGAAATGCCATCATCATTCTTTCAAGTTCCACCTGGGACTCAGTGCACTGTCAGCCTCCCATGGTCACCATTCCTGCATTCTCATCACTGTTGCCAGAAATGGCCCAGTAACTAGAGCTGGAGAAGCGCTTTCTGGGCAAGGCCTGACTAATCAGCCACATCACTTGACCTGTTTTCTGACAGCAACACAGTGCCCCGCGGGCGGCTGCTCTGTCCTCCCTCCTGTCCTGCAAGGGCTGAAGTCACTGTCCAATCAATTCAGGTCACTCCTAGGGCACTAACACACCCTAGGCAACAATGCTCTTGATCTGTCCTCTATTCCTGACTCCAGCAAGGCCTGTCCTCCAAGCCCCACCTCTAATACCCCAATGACTCATGGTGACAGGTGCCGAAATCACCTGGTTGTTGTTTTTTGTGCATGCCCCTAGCGGAACCGCACCCGGGAGGCTGCCGGCTCCGAGGCTCCAACCGCTGAGCCAAACTGGCCAGGGCCCATATCACCTGGTTTTAATGAATGTCCCCAAGCTTGTTATTGTCTCTTATCAGGGATATCTGTGATTGTGCTGACGCTGCCCCTGGATGGGTTTAAGGGGAAGGCCCAGGCCATGTCTCTGCATCCCATCCTGCCCCATATAGCCCCAGTCATGGGAATTCTGTGGTTGACGGGGACAGATACAGGCAGGGAGGGTGGAGAGCAGTTCGTGGCATCTGGAATCAGCTCCAGGCTGAGCTCTGGGCCCTCCTGGGCGGGGCCACAGCAGGTTGAGAGCCAGGACTGTATATCCTCGAGGCCCTGGAAGGTGGGCCCTTCTCGGCACTTCTCTTCCAGGGACGGTGGCGTGCGTTATGTTTCATAGTCTGCCAAAGTTCCTCTCTTAGCTGACGGCCTGGCTCTCAGGAGAGCAGCTGGGCCTCCACCTTCTTTCTGTTTCCTTGCGAATTCTGCCCCCTCTGCAGAGCCCTGCTCCAGGCTGTGGGATCAGAGCTGACACGCCCTCCCCTACCTGCCAGGGCAGAGCCTTTGTGAGGCCAGCCTGGGGCTGCTGACAGGTAGTGAGGGGACAGTGATGTGATGTGCCCAGGCCGGACTGTTTTCCATGGACACAGGGCATCTGGGCATGCGCAAGCCCCGAGTCCCTGGTCCAGGCCAAATCCAGGAAGAGGCAGTTGGATCTTGGACCCCTTTCCAAATCCTCTTCTTCTGAACATCCCCAGAAGGCTAATGCCCCCCAAACTGTCTGCTGTGTGTGCCCACGGGGTACTCTCAGACACTTCAGACTGTTCACTTCCCAAATAGGACTCATCGTGCACCCCCCCAAACCTCTCCTGTTTTCCCCTCACTCCCCATTACCATCACTCGGTCCCCCAAACCAGAGACTAGGAGTCCTCCTAGATGCCCCTAACCCTTACCCCCTGGCATTTGGTGCCATTGCTAAGCCCTGTGATTCTTCTTGCTGTCTCTCAGTCATCTCCATGCTAGGCCTTGCCTCGGGCCCTCCTCACCCCTGGGTCGCTGCCTCTCACAGGTCTCCTGCCTGCCCCATCAAACCTTCCATCCCACCCCCACCCCAGAAAGAGCTTTTCAAACACAAATGTGAGCAGGTGACACCCAAATTAACACCTCTGACTCCCCACTTCCTACAAGATAAAAACTAATGCCCTTAGTTTATCCAAGATGTTACAGGTCCTAGACCTCAGCTGACTGTATTTTACAAAGAGGGCTATGCCATTATCTCCTGTCCCATGTATACCTCTTATGATGTGACAATGACATGCCCCTTCATCAAAGGATGGGGTCTCTGTTCTCTCTCCTTCAATACGGTCAGTCTTAGCTGTTTGCTGCTAATAAAGAAAATTAAGCAGAGATGATGCTGTGTGACCTCTGAGGCCAAGTCTTGAAAATCGACCTGGATCTTTCTTTCTTGGGACCCTTAGAACACAGACAGCACATTGTAAGGGAGCCCACTCTTTCCTACTCACGGAAAGGCCGCAGGCTGGTGTTCCAGCTGCACCTCCGGCGAGTTTCAGCCTGCACCCAGTGTCATGTTACTGAACAAGCCTTTGGAGGGTTGCAGCCCCCGCCTTCAATCCCAAGTGGGGCAGACATGAGGTATCCCTACTGAGCCTTAAACAGATGGCAGATCAGTGAGCAAACTAAATGCTCTCATTGTTTCAAGCACTAAGTTTGGGTGGCGTTGTTACACAGCACCACCCTTCACCTTGCCCTTCAAACTTCTTCAAGGTCATACGAATAAGTTCCTCACAGCACACATTCACTGTCTGTGGATTTGCTCTCAATCTGTACAGAATCATCTTCCCCTTCTTTGTCTGGCCAGCCCTGCCTCACCCTAAGAGGCCCCTTTGTTCAGCATGGGGCTCAGCCACGTGTCTAGTTCAAGTTTGCTTCTAAACATCCCAGCACCCTGACCTCTGCACAGAGGTACCTCCATGGCTGGCACATGGCTGGCATGAAGGGCAGCGTTCAGCAGAGGAGTGAGGGCTGACACTGCAGCCTGGGAGAGACACGATGAGGGTTGGTTCAAAGGGCAGTGGGGATTTGGGGAGGGAGCCGATCAGTAGCTCTTGCAGAGGTTGAGTTGACAAGTCTGTCCCTGATTAGAGGTAGAAGAAAAGGGGAGCATTCCAGCCCAGGGGCCAGGAAGCGGGCAAGGCTGTATGTGGAGACAGGGGGCCTGGGAAGAAGGGTACCTCTGCAGAGGGAGGACAGTTTTGGAATACCTGAGTTTCTGAACATAAAGCTCAAAAAAGACCAGTTTCCCTTTAACCCAACTAATAATGAATTAACAGGAGTGACTAATCCCTACCAAATCCTGCAGCAGTCTCATGAGAGGAAGGTGGAAGGAAAAACATCTTGTCTCAGGTCTTTTCCAGAAAGATATGCCTTTGCTCGTTCCAGTAAATACAGAAATTCCCCATTTTGTCCCTCCAAAGAGTAGGTGGAAGACTCCGCCTGGAGTCAGCGGGCACCTTTCCACATCACACACCCCTTCGCAGAACCAACGGCACCGCTGCAGCCCGGCCAGGTCCGGGTGCCCTGGAGAAGAGCTGGCACGTGTCTGGGCCCTCGGGTTCCAGGACTGCTCCGCAGAAGGAGAACGACTTAGGTAGCTACAAGGGAGGGGAGGGCAGGGAGAAAATACCAAGAAAAGAGGTAGAAGCAAATGGACAGTTCCCACAGAGCTTTCTGGCCAGGGCCACTCAGTGCCATCACAGCCATCTGGCCCCCCCTACTGCCACTGAGCATATGTGGACCGGACGCTGGGGCCAGGCTGCTCAGACTTACCGAGTATCTGATCAACAGCCAGCATGACATGGAGTGACAAACACCTGACACAAGGCAGAACTAGAAATCCCCCCGAGAGCATGGGGTTTAAGCACATATGTAGATGGACTGGTGAGAGAGGGATAAGGTTCACTAACTGGGTTGCAACCCACCCTCCACCACCATTTAGATAACACAGTGTTATAGGTTTTGATGGCTGGGTTTTGAAATCAAACAAACCTAGGTTCAAATCCTCACTTTTGGCTACGTATGTGTCCTCTGTGACAGCGGGTTCCCCCTTTAATGGAAGCTATAATAATACCTGTGCATTGCTGTTGAGAGGCTTGCACGAGAGAATATGTCTAGAGCACCTAGCACCCTGCCTGGCCCACACACTGGAGGGATGTTCACTAAGTTGAGGCTTCTTCCCCTGCCTCCTCTGGCCCAACTAACTAAACCTCTCTGATGCTTTCAAGTGTCCTGTGGCATGAGAACTCTGGAACAGATGTTCCCACAATGTGGACACAGAACATGACTTGCTTGAGATGCTCCAAGTTGAAAGAATTCCCAGGAGAAAAAAGTTTGGAAAACTTGCATATTATAACCTTCCCTCATGAATATTTATAGTTCATATTAGCACAATAAAGGTTCTGAGAAAACCAGTAAAGACCAGGTTAACTTTGTTTTACCCAAATTTCTCTACCACTTTAACCATGGAACCCCCTCCAACACAAACGCATTTAAAAAGTATATATATGACAGCCTAGCTGGTGTGGCTCAGTGGTTGAGCATTGACCCATGCACCAAGAGGTCACCAGTTCGATTCCTGGTTAGGGCACATGCCCAGGTTGTAGGCCCGATCCCCAGGGGGGCATACGGGAGGCGGCCAACTGATGTTCTCTCTCATGGATGTTTCTATCTCCCTCTCCTTTTTTCTTCCTCTCTCTCTAAAATCAATAAAGAAAAAAAATTTAAAAATATATATATATGTAAAACAGATACTACACACTTCCGGTCAAGATGGCAGTGTAGGTAAACATGGTATCGCGTCCTCCCACAACCACATCAAAGTTACAACTAAACTACAGAACAACCATCATTCAAAACCGCCTGAAATCAAGCTGAATGGAAGTCCTACAACTACAGAATTAAAGCAGCAGCCACATCGAGACTGGTAGGAGAGGTGGAGGGGCTGGACCCACACCCACGTGTGGCGGACAAAAATCAGGAGGATACCTCAGCTGGGAAGGTCCTCTCTGAGGACTGAGGGGTCCCCATCCCACACCAGGTGCCCAGCTCAGGGTTCCAGTGCCAGGAAGAGAAGTCCCCATGACTTCTGGCTGGAAAAACCAGCAGGAACTGAGGCTCAGGGAAGCTGAGGCAGCCGGAGCCCCAGGCAGCTCCTTAAAGGGCCCGCGCACGGACTTATCGGACTCACTCCCTCTAAGCTTGGAGGGGAGGCAGCTCGAGGGGCGCCAGAGACATACAGGGAAGAACTGAGCTGTTTGGCACTGGAGCGAGGGCTGGAGAGGGGCTTTCTCTGGGACAGACATGCTGTCAGAGGCCTTTGTTCCATTGGCGAGCCCTTCCCTGGGGC